TAACCTAGTCCCCAATCTGCATGTCTTTGGACTGTGGGAGGAAGCTGGAGTGCCCGGAGAGAACCCACGCTGACACGGGGAGAACATGCAAACTCACAGAAACGCACAGAAGGGCTCCCACGCCCGGGATTGAACCGGCAACCCTCTTGCTGTGAGGCGAGAGTGCTAACCACCACATCACCGTGCCACCACTCTTTTTGTTATATTTTGTTATAATTTTGGGTGACCAGATGTTATAAACGTATCTGTCCTGCAGGGGTTTTAACTTGAGCCAATCAAAATGTAGAATACTGTCTCAATATGTGGGAAATGTAGAAATGTAGAATATGAAATCATCATTAGCCCTCTGACCAGCCTACAAGGCACTGATCTCTACAATCAGCCTTGAAGGCAGCTAACTGAATAATGAAAATTATAGAATATGAAATCATCTAACCAGCCTGCAAGGCACTAATCTCTACAATCAGCCTTGAAGGCATCCGACTGAAATCATCATTAGCCTTCTGACCAGCCTGCAAGGCACTAGTTTCTATAATCAGCCTTGAAGGCAGCTAACTGAATAATGAAAATTATACAATATGAAATCATTAGCCTTCTAAGCAGCCTGCAAGGCACTGGAAATGACAAACAAGTGACAAAAGACTGTAAGACTGTTAGAGATGTTAATGATACATTTTAACTATTTCTGCACTTTTACTAAAAATGCAATGTCCAAAATGATTCATACCCCTTGAAATGAGATATTATCTTTTAGAAAATAAAAGCTATACCATTCCAAAAGGTCATGGTGATTTCTGCCAAGTTCTAGAGTATTCTAACCACCTATAAATTGGGAACAAATGATGCAGTAGTTCTCTGTTACTTGTTGAAGTCAGGGCTGAAACCAAAGACGTTATGGGGACCTCCGCTTGCTTATTGTGACAGCTCACTGATTCTAATACACACACATATATACACACACACACACCTTTTTTTTTAAATTGAGAAGTTTGCATTTAAGTCTTATTTAATTGGCTTGTAAAAATAAAGAGCTACTGATAAAAGACAGAGACCTTTAGTAATTGTGTCACAGTTTATTAGAATTTTGTCACACTGGCCATAATCTGCTCAGCAGCATATCTTGGTACTCCTTGTCCCTCCAGGATTTTGATGATAATCTGAAAAACAGTTAGCAAATGACCCTCATACAAGTTTATCATGAGTTTTATGCCATCTAACCAACATTTTCCATCTTACCTCTGGGACGAAGACATCGAAAGTGAAATAGAGCAGTGAATTTTCCCCCTTCAGAATCCTCTCTCCAATGTCGGTGCACTGCTCGATGGTCTTCATCAGCTCCAAGAACTATTAGAAAGAGAGATGCATTATTAAATTTGTACAAACTGTAATGTGTACACTCCTATACATGAAAAAAATGACACTTCCATTTACCCGCTGATCACTAAAATGGAGCATGTGCGGTTTCAGGTGCTGTTTCAGTTTCCAGGATGTGGATGGATTAATCCAGAGGTACATCCTGTTTGAACGCACTTGCCCGTTCATCAGGTCATGGTACAAGCTCTGAAGCCAAAGTCAAGAATGGAAATTTAAATGTTGATGTAGAATTTAATTACTTAAAAGCTGGGGTTGTTAACTTTGGAGAAAAGAGCAATAGAGAGCAGTTTGGAAAGAGTTTTTGAGCACAAATACCACAACCCCTCATCCTCACCTTGATCTGATCCACTGAAAACACGGACAGGATTCGTCCTGTTTCAACCGCCTCAATAATGCTGCAGATGAAAACAAGGAGTGGGGAAAAATATGAGGACAGCTAGCAAAGGGAATCAGAATTGCTAAAACAATACTTTAATAAACTTTTTAACAGATTTAAACTAGAGAATCATTTTTCAGTGGGCCACTTACTAGTGAAAAGAAAAACAAATAGATAAATGTAGCTGGCTGTATGTGGCTCTCTAATGCCTGTGAGTCACAAGGGATACATTCCACTGATAACTTTTACCTGCTCTGGAAATGTAATGATCTCTTCAAAGGAAAGGGCCCCCATCTATATGGATTTTAACAGCTGACAGGCAATGTTGTACACTGCCTGAGGCCCCAAATAACTTCCTGCACTACTCTCCACCAGCAAATGCTCCTTCACAGTAAGAGGGCTAGCTCCAGGATGACAACAGTGACCCTGGCCTCCATATGGATCTCCCTTCCACATTCCCCCACCTTTTCTCTGGACTCTCATGACTCCAGCACCCACTTCCTCCCGTCTCTACTCTCAGTTTCACAAGCCAGATGGACAACTTGGCAAAATAGTCCCACTAACCCCTCATGGCCATCACCTATACACCACTCACCAATGCCACCACGACACTATGCCTCTCCAGGTCCAGAATTTATTCTTAATTTATCCTATAGCAGGTTGATTAAAGTCCCCAATCCAAAATCATTGCTTTGACATTTTACCCACAACTTTTATTTTTATAACAGGTTTAAAGGGAAATTTCGGTTTATTTCAACCCATCTCCTATCGTTCTAAATTTGTTTCAAGTGACTAGTGACATAAAAATAATAGTTTGCATGTTAGCCTTTAGCCTAGATACAGCCAGGGCGCATAGTAGCGTCAGACCTGTTAAAACGTAAGTGAACGGACATACTTCAAGTGCAAAGTTAGTCCATTAAACAAGCTTTTTTTCCACAAAGACCGCCTCATATCGTTAGGATAAATGTCAGAGAACATATAGAAAATGACATGTAAATGTGTTGTCTTACCTTATCGGTGTGGTGCCATGTTTGTTTACCATTTAGCTCTGCTTTCAAAAGCGCGGCCGAAATATGGTGAGCTCTAGATAAAGCCCAGCTGAATACGACTCCAGGTGGAGGTGTCTCATCCTCAGTCACATCCAGACCTTGAAAATAAGGCTGCAACCGGTCCCATTCCTTGCAACAGAGGCATTCCTCTTCTGTGGGCACTGGGCCACAGCATTCACAGGTACACCACCAATCTCCAGAGCTACGCAGCCTTACAGCAGCCATTCCTCCTCTCTCGTTTTCTACCTGTTGCGAAGCTCTTCGTCAGTGTATTTAGTTTAGTTTATTTTAGTTTAGTTTATTAGTTTATAGTATTGTGGACAATCCCAATTAATTGACTGTAGAAATAACAGTAAAAAGGGCAGCTTTAGCCAACATGGCTAATATCCAGCTGTAGTCCCTGGCCTGATGACAATAGGCATCCTAAAAAGAACAGTACATTACAGCACATTCATTAAAAAGAGAAAATTAAGAGTCAGAGCATGTGAGCGGAACGGAGCGGGGAGTGGGAGGATTTTGTGTTGAGCGAGGAGTGGCTATTTTTTTAAAAAGGTGGAGCGGAGCCTTATCTCTCGCTCCAATTTTGCTCCGGTTGCTCATGCCCCATCCAGAATGTATCTTTGCACCTGCGCACACCCACACTATTTTCTTTCAAAACTATGGAGTTTACTGTGTACTTCAGAAAAGAAACTGAGAAGAGAAGTAGCGGTACCTTGGAGAATGGTCCCTAACTGAGAGGGAGAGGCGAGAGGGCTTCAGAGGTCAGCCGCTTAACCTGGTCCGTCTCCTCCACACTTTGACTATTTCCACCCTGCCAGCGGTACCGTGTAGAACGGTCCCTAACTGCGGGGAGAGGCGAGAGGGCTTCCCCGGAGAATCTACCAAGCTCATGTTTTATTGGTGCCGTAGCATTGTTCCTACCTCTTATTGTTCCAACCTCTCATTAGTCAGACGTCCCGTTGTTCCAATATGTGATTATTACCGTAGCCTATTTGTGTACCATAGAGGATCAGCAACGCAACAAAAGTAGGCTACTGGTCGAGATACAAGTGTCATAGAGAGGAGAGAATGAAACACCATAACCTCCTGTTATTAACTCTGGGGTCCAGGTTGTGTGGGGAGCTCTCTGTGGTGCTGAACGGCTCCCGGCGGGCGTATTTCTGCCTTGATGGTGCACCGCGACCGGCGCTGGGTCAGCTGGGAAAGGCTTGAGGCGAAGCAGGCTCACGGCTTATGTGTTTGCCACTTTCTTTTTCATTTTAACCCACACCATGATTTTTTCCTGACCCTAACCAAGTGGTTTTTGTGCCTAAACCTAACCGGATCTTAACCACAGGGCATCATGAACAATGGGTTTAATATGGTCTGAACAATGGGATGTCAGACCAATGGGCTGTTGGAAAAATGGGCAGACCCTGTTTTATTTGTGAATAGAAGATTACAGGTTAGGGTAGTACGACGCAGTTGTTTTGAGCGAGTGGAGCGGGATAAAATTTATGATGGAGCGGAGCGGAGCGAAGAATGCGCAGAACCAAGCGGAGCGGACGAGCGGCGCAAAGTGACAGGTCTGCGAGCGAGGAGTGGAAATTTTCACCCGCTCCACTCCGCTCACATGCTCTGTTAAGAGTGAAGAGAAAAAGATAGATCAATAAAGATAAAAAGGAACAGTAAAACATCAATACAATCATGCAGAGACAGCACATATAACCAAAACATACAGAAGCAGCACATGCTATATAATCACACACAAAACGTCAGCACATACAATCACATTCAGGGATGCAGACAGACAGCACGTATAGACATGCAGCGTTTATGATCATGACGCAATAACACACAGCCATAGGTTAGTGTGTGCAGGTGTAATTGTCAGTAAACCATGTTTTTAACTTGGCTGTAAAGGTGGAGCATGTATGTGTATCTATAATATGGGTGGGAAGTGAGTTCCAATTTTGTATTGCTCTAACAGAGAATGATAACTGACCAAATGTGCTTTTCCTGAATGGGACTAATAAGTCACCACGTGTGATGCTTCTAGTGATCTGACCAGTATTATTGCATTGGTTTATGAATGAATTAAGTGGAGGAGGAGCTAAGTT